ACAACTCCGACAACCCGGCAAGTACTCGGCTAATAAAATTGCCGAGTGTCCCGTTACTTATGAAAACAGCTGTAATCGTTTTAAAAATCGATTTTTGCCGATTAGATTTTCGATTTTGATTTTTTGAAACGATTCCAATCCCTTCCCTACGTGGGAATTCATTAAAGATTATGTGTTGCTATTCGAACTTCTTATTTTCATTTTTACAAAGAGAATTACAATTTCTTCTCAAATAATCAATTTAATCAATTTGGTTCCAGTTACTGCAGATAAATAAACGTTGATTGCAATGAAGGATTGGATTATATTATAATAATTTTCAAATTTAATAAAGAACTATAACTTCTTGTATAGAACAAGAAATTTATAAAATGTTTGTAGTAGATACTTTGAAATCGGGACCACGTGTAATTCATCAATGTCTTCTTTGGAAGGAAGTCTTATGCCTTTATATTGTAATCTAAGCTAAATTAATCGAGGTTCAAAAAGGTTAAAATGGTTCGTATTGAAAGTAGTTTTCAAATAAAAATGGAATCCTTCAACATAAATAATTGGCCAATTCACTAATTCATTTGGAACTAATATATATCTTGAAATTTTTCTTACCTCCAAATATCCTTTCATCTTTTAATTATTTACAAATTCTGAAATTCGAAAGATTGTCACATGAATAACAAAATCGAAAGTACCGATTTATCTTTAATATTGAATATATTGGTTGAATTCGCTCCAAATCTTTACGTGAAATTAGAGTTTAATATGAGAATAACCTTTCGAAGGATGATTTGGAAGTCTTTTTCGAAAATCGTTTTATATTTCTTTTTATTTCATTCTCAAAATAAATTTAGAATTGAGGTTCTCCTTATATCTTCATCAGGCTAGAAACATGAAATTGTGATACAGATATTATAAAATAGCATGGTTCTTTAGTAAAAAAAAAAAATTATTAAACAATAAAACATTTCTATTCAATTAGATATAAAAATTTTATCATATGATTTTTACAAGCAATAAAAAATTCTGGAATATTTATGATGTCCCATTTATATCATATGTCAACAAATGCGAATAAATTAGTAATAATTAGATATGCATGGCGTTAATCGTTCTATTCTTACTGCGCACCCACTAGATTGTAAATCTGTAAACAAATAAATGCGTTTTACACTTTAACATAAAAGGAGTAAATTTAGAGTTTGTGAGAAAAAACCCTTCACAAATCGAAAAATAATAAAAATCCTAATATAAAAAAGCTCATGAGGTCGAAATGTATAATTATGATGATTATAAATAAATATTTCGTCATTTAATAAACATACATGGTTCTGGTGAAAACGATATAAATTTGAATTTTTCTAAGCCAAGTACCATTTCCCTCCCACAAAAAAAAAAAATTTCAAAAATGTATGGAAAAATTTTTATGGTCATCGTTCAAACAATTATTGACATAACACCTCCAAGAACAAATGCCATTCAATACATTTTGTCGAGAAAAAGTTTAAAAGATTTCGACAACATTTTGAATCTTTTGATCGTATTTCAAACGTTGCTTTATTGTTATGTCATGTATCAACAAGAAAACGGTTCCATACCGATCTTACCTGACGAAAATCATAAATTTTCTGAATGGAACCGGGTCGAAGTTTTTTATCATTTGTGCAACATTGTTGGAAGCTTCCTTATATTACGAAGCTATGATACTTTAAAGGAATATTTCAACCCTAACGTTACAATAAAAAAAGATCATAAATTAATTACAACAGGACCATATTCTTTATTGGTTCATCCTTCGGTAAGTAATCTTGGTTTTTTTTAATGAGAATCATCTTCTCAATCTATCAGTATTAAATAACTTAATTTCAAACAGTATACTGGTGTCATCTTGCAGTGGATCTTCTTATTTAACTTGCATTTTCAATTATTTCGTTATATTCCTGTATACTTTCCGTCCAAGTTGGGTAACATTTTATCAAGTTGGTGGTTTAAAGCTTTTGAAGTAATTAGTTTATATGTTTTGCTTTACAAACGCGTCATTCATGAGGAAAAGTTAATGAAAAATCATTTTGGTAAGGATTGGGATGTTTACTCGCGTCAACGTAAAAGATTTATACCATACATTTTTTGAAGTAAAAAGTGAAATGTCTTTGCTCAATTTGTGATAAAAAGTTTAATAAAAAAGAAATTAAATTTTTTCTAATTTGCTTATATATTTTAAATGTAATCATTTTTGACTATTAACAAAAAACCTTCACTTTTCTGAATTCTTTTGAAAATTTTTTTCCCTTTGGTTTCGAAAAAATTCTTTAACATTCCTCATTATCAACAAATCAAGTTGTAAAATAATGCAAATATAAAAAATGTTATTGTTGCTTATTTAATTTACTGATTTCAGAAGTACACCCAGAAAATTCGTGAATTACAAGCCGACGCAATACAATTAATAGAAGAAAAATAGAAACGATGGTTCAAAGACAAAATAGTTTGAAACGCAAATTGTATCGGTTGCATTAATTCGTAAATTTATACATTGTAATCGTGTAACAATCGCATTTCGATCGATTGCTTTTAGTTGTTAATTACTTTTCCTAATTATGGTTTAAACTAATTACTTTTAGGGGGACAATCAAAAATATCGATTTTCAGAATTGGCGAAGGAATCGACTTTTTCGCTTAATTTGTCCTAATTTTCATGTATTTTTGGAAGTACCTAATTTTATAAAGTAGCTAAATATCTATATAAGCTATAGGTTGCTTAAAATTAAATTTACCCGGTAGTGATGGCCTTTTGGACTATTGAACAATTGGACAATTGAACTTATATCTAGTTCCATTTAAAGTAGTGTTATATAATTATTTAAAGAAAGCTATAAAAATTAATTTTATATTACAATAATAAGTTACAACCATTGTAATTTAATAATTACATTAATCTTAATAAAATTTTATAAAAAAAAAACCTTTATATTGCTAATTCAAATTTTTATTTTTATTTTTTATTTTATTATTATTATTAATATAATCAACTCTATAAATTTACCCCATTGGGATTGAACAAAATCGTGCATTTATATAGGTGTGCATTTATAAAAAAGTATATTATGAAAGTATAAAAAATTTTATTATAAAATAAAATTTAAATAAAACGTCTGTACAATAATAAATGTTGCATCCGAATGCTTTATTATATAAAATAATAACAAAAGTCACATCCGAACTGTCGGAGATGGCTTTTATTATATAAAATAATAATAAATATTATTGGACATAGTCCATTATTTTATTGGACTAATGTGGACTTAGTCCCATTATTACAAATTATATATATGATATAAAAATGTAATTAAAATTTTATAACTATTATAATTTTTAGATCATATTTAATTCAAATTACAAAAAAAATGAAAATTACAAATTAATAAAAAATATAGAAGTTTATTATTTATTACTCAACCAATAGTAATTGAAGTTTTTTATTATTCTATATGATCGGTAACATTTAAGAGAAATGAAACAAAAATTTTTTGGCAGTGAAAAAATTTCAAGTTTTTAGAATACATAGTAAAATGAAAACTGGAAGATGTAATAATACATGCAATATAAACACATATATAGGCCACTTTGGGGGTTCTGGTGCAGATTGCCAAAATATACCTCCAAACCCCGCCTACGAATCAAATTTGCTATATCGATTTCCAATATTAAATTCAATCCTCTAGCGTCTTTTAACTCTATTATAGAT